AGAGTCAAAATAGGACCTTGAACATATCTTACCTGAATTCAGAGATCATCTCAAGATCAGATTTGTTGCATTAGACATTAAAGACCGAAGACCAGAAGAGTTGTGGGATGTTATCTATATTATCATACAGGAAGAAAGCAAAAGGTCATTAAGAAGACAAGAAAAAATGGAGGTCAAAAGAGATGCTGATGTGCTCTCCAGAGTAGAGATGCTAATGCAAATGAAAGAAATTAAGCGGTGAAACAGCTGAACAGAAAAATTTAAAGGGCAGGTGGCACAGAGAAAATCAAATATTATAATGAAATATGCCAAGACCTAGAAAACCAAAAGGGAAAAACACGCTACGCTCAGCATTTCTCAAGCTTAAGGGAACTGAAGAAAAAAATTCATTCAAGCCTTGACTTGCAATATTAAAGGATTCCATGGGCCAAATATTGAATGATGCAGAAAACATCAAAAGAAGATGGAAGGAAAACAGAGTCACTGTATTAAAAGGATTTGGTCAGTGTTCAGCAATTTCAAGAGGTGGCACATGATCAGTAGTCCGTGGTACTGAAGGAAGAAGTTCAAGGTGCACTTGAAAGCATTGGCAATGAACAGGGCTCTGGGAATTACTGAATAAAAATTGAAATCTTTCAGCAAACTAATGCAGCACTGGAGGTACTCATTCTTCTATGCCAAGAAACTTGGAAGACAGCTATCTGGCCAACTACATGGAAGGGAGATCCATATTTGTGCACATTACAAAGAGTGGTGACCCAGTGGAATGCAGAAATCATTGGAAAATATCATGAATTTCTCATGCAACTAAAATTTTGCAAAGGTAATTAAAAAACTGGTTGCAACAGTACATTGACAAGGAACTGCCAGCGGTTCAAGCTGGATTATGATGAGGACATGAAACAAGGAATATTATTGCCTACATCAGGTGGTTCTTGGCTGAAAGCAGACAATACCTGAAAGATGTTTATCTGTACTTTATTGAATATGCAAAGGCTTTCCATTGTGTGGACTGTGACAGGCTATGGACAACATTGTAGAGAATGGAAATTCAGGAACCCTTAATTGTACTCAGGAAGAGCCTATACATAGACCAAGAGACAGTTATTTGAACGGAACAAGGGGTCACTGAATGGTTCAGTATTAGGAAAGGTGTGTGCCAGGGTTGAATTCTCTCACCATGCTTATTCAGTCTGTATGCTGAGAAAATAATCCAAGAGGCATCAGGATTGCAGAAAGATTCATTAACAACCTGCAGTATGTACACGATACAACCATGCTGGCTGAAAGCAAAGATAACTTAAAAATACATACTGATAATGGTCAAAGAGCATAATCTTCAGTATGCGCTGCACCTCAATGTAAAGAAAACAAAAATCCTTACCACTGGTCCAATCAATAAAATCATGATAAATGGAGAAAAGATTGAATTTATCATAGACGTCATTTGTTTCACTCCACTATGAACACGCATGGAAGGCAGCGGTCAAGAAGCAAGGCAACTTATTTGCATTAGGCAGATCTCCTGCAGAAGCCTTCTTTAAAGTATTGAAGAGCAAAGATGTCAGTATTAGGACTAAGGTGGTGAGCCTGACCCAGGCAATATTTTCATTTGCCACATATCCATGTCAAAGTTGGACAATGAATAATTAAGACTATAGAAGAATTAATGCACTTGAGTTATTGTGTTGGAGAATAATATTAAAAGTACTGTGGACTGCCAGAAGAATATACAAATCTGTGTGGGAAGAAGTATAGACAGAATGCTCCTTAGAAACCAAGATAGCCAGATTTTGTATTTCATACTTCAGACATGTTATTAGGAGGGGCCTATGGAGTCCTGGTGTGGCACTGTGGACTAATGCATCAGACTGCAAAGTTGTTTGAACTGCAAAGGTCGGTAGTTCAAGCTTACCAACTGCTCCTTGGAAACCCTATACAGGGTTGTTGCTATGGGTCAGAATTGACTCGTCGGCACTTAACAACAACAATATCCTTGGAGAAGGATCTTATGCGTGTTAAAAGTGGAGGGTCAGTGAAAATGAGGAAGACCTCCCCCCAAGAAGACAGATTGGCACAGTGGCCGAAGCAATTTGCTCAAGTGTAACAATGATTGTGAGGATCGCACAGAACATGGCAGTGTTTTGTTCTGTTGTCTGTAAGTTTGCTGTGAGTTGGAACAGACTCAAAGGCACGTAACAACAACAGTAACAACAAACTATGAAGAGGTTAAATATCGGTATTTCATTTGCTACGGTAACTCTTTGTATTCCTTCCATCTTCTTTTGATGCTTGCTGGGTCTTTCAGTATTTTGCCCATAGAATCTTTGCAAAATTCTATCCTGTAGTTTCCGGCATCATTTCTATTACCAAAGTCATATTTTCTAACTACTGATCCTTCTTCTGTGTTTCCAGCTTCCTCGTTCTGATCATCATTAATTAATAAGTTCTTAAAGCTAATATTAGGAGCCCTGGTGTAGTACTGTGAGTTAATGTGCCAGACTGTAAAGCTATTTGAACTGTAAGGTCGGCGGTTCAAGCTCACCAGTCACTCCTTGGAAACCCTATACGGGATCACCATGGGTTGGAACTACCTTAACAGCACATAGCAACAACAACAGCAATTAAGTGAAAATATTGAAAAGGAAAGGGATAACATTATATATAGGTAGCCTCAACTTTCAGAACACCGTCTATTCTCATTGACTTTGTCATAAGTCTATTGTGATTTAAGCCCAATAATTATCAGTATCTTTATAAATCCAATATTTATTTGTCTTTAGGGGATTGGAATCATTAATAAATGTGCAGTTTATATTTTAAGTCCTATATACATTAAAAATAGACCAATCATAAACATTTACTTTGATGATGAAGCATTGGATAGCCTTGGCATTTTGTCAGTTTCTAGAATAGCTCCACTTATGGAAAGTTCTGGTTCATCTGATTATCCCTTGGGATAGAGATAGCATTTCTTGTCAGAAAATTAGTGAGCTATCTCTATGGCCCCTTTTTTTTTTTTTTTTTTTCACAATATGTTTTGTTTCGTTAAACTGCATATCAACTGTATTAAATTGGTTAGTATTTGAATTCATATTTTCAAGCAACTGAAGCCCCTGATTTAGTTTAGAAAACAATGTTCAGTTAATCCTTTCACTGGAAATCATAACATTGAACATCTGCAAATGAGTGTCTGAGAATGACTGTATCTACAAATGGTATTTGCAACATTGTATACAGTACCTCTTACTAACAGTAAGATGCGCAAAAACCAGATGGTTGTAAATACAGCTCTTCATCACTGCAATGTACCGTAAGTCAGGTACCACCTATATTAATAGATTCAATTTGTTAAGTATAGTAGTTTTATTAGAAATAAAGAAAATAAGAAGATAACTCTTATTTTCACTGTTAACCAGTTTTAAAGGATATAGACATATAATTAGAAATTGTATGCCGTATAGAAAAGTAGTAAATGAAAGATATCCCACCCCATCTATACCTAGTCTCTCTCTGAAGATATTTACTTATTGATTTTTTTCCAGAAAGCAAATATATGTGAACATTATCTCATATATATGTACTTTTTAATACCTAACCTACTTTGATGGGATTGGGGAGCACAGTGACGCCACGTTCAAATGCGCTAGTTGCTCTGTCGGAGAAAGACGAGGTTTTCTGCTCCTGTAAAGATTTAAAGCTTCAGAACCTGTATACAGGGTTGTTGTGAGTAATAGGTAGATATTAAAGAGTATGTGTATATGAGCTAATGTTTGTAAAACAACAACAACATGGAGTCCTTGTGTCCTGGTGTGGTTCTATAGGGTAAGCACTGGACTGCTAGAAACCCTATACAGGGTTGCTGAGTGGGAACCTACTTGACACTATTAGCAGTAGGTAGTATTCTTTTATCTACCATTTATGTTTGAAAATACTCATTTGTTCTCATAGTCATCTGATCTTGACATTACCCAAATGGGAACTGTTGGTGGGCAGTCTCAGACACTCATTTGCAGATGTTCAGTATTATGATTTTCAGTGAAAGGACTAACTGAACATTGTTTCCTGTACGAAGGAATATTAAAAAGTTACTGGAAAATTTCAGTGTCTTTTAATTCCATTTTTCTACAAAAGTTTTAAAGCCCCCTTTTATTTTGTGGTTTTTAATTTGTAATTTTTTAGTTAAACGTATAACTGATCATGTTTTCATTTGTTTGCTAGCCATTTGTAATTGGTTTCTTGATTTGTATCTATTTACCATCTTTCTATTGGATTTTACATCTTTTCATAATGATACATAACATTTTAAACATTAAGAACAGAAAGCCTTGTAATATGTATAGCAAATTTTTTTGAGGGCTTGTTGTGGGCCTTCCATCTTCCTTAAAGTATATTTGACACCTGGAGTTTTAAATTTCTATGTAGTCATACTGGTGGTCAGTTTTTTCTTTTATGGTTTTTAAGTTAGGTGCCTTGTTTACAAAAGTTATTCCTCGCTAAAATTACAAATCAGTTCACTCGTGCACTCTTTTAAAACTGTTATGATCTAGTTTTTAATGTTTCATTGTTTTTAAAATCTGACATGTATTGTCTTATAAAGAGTAAGGAATTCATAGACCTTAAAAAGAAGTCTGTCTGATGAACCTAATTAAAAGGTAAAATGTGTACAATGCTAGCAACTTATACTTTCATCTTAAAAGACCACAGTCTCTGATCCCTAGTGACCATGCCTTAATGATCAACTGGCCTTTCATGTGGTGGCCACTAAAGATTGTAGCACTCACCTTTCTATTAAAAAATATTATTTAGAAATGCTGCAGTGCCGCTGGCAAGGACTCATCTCTCATTATACTGTGAACAAGGTATTTATATAATGAAAATAATTTCTTTGGCATTAATTCTAATATATAATTTAAAAGAGAATAAAAATGGTTACTTCAGGCATTCATTTTACTGTGGAAGATATTAGACTGTGCTGTTAATTTCCTTTTGTTCTCCAGGTTCACTTTGATGGCTGGAATAGTTGTTATGACTACTGGATAGATGCGGATTCTCCTGATATTCACCCCATGGGCTGGTGTTCCAAAACTGGACATCCTCTTCAGCCTCCACTGAGTAAGATACAACAGACCACTTACTAAACAAAAAATTCTTCAGGTTTTTTGTTGAGTTCAGATTTTTGTTAATTGTCTTTGCCTTCATTTCTTTTCACTTCTCTGTACTGTATGTTTTCTCTTCTGTGTAATTTTCTTCCTTTTTCTATATGGTCAATTACCTGGTAGACATAAAGATATAAAAATTATGGTTAAAATGAAATAAATTTTAATCAGTGTTTTAAAAATTGTAGTATTGTTTTTAGGTGCTGTTGAGTCGGTTTGGACTCATAGCAAACCCTCTGAACAACGGAACAAAACACTTCCTGGACCTGCAATATCCTCACAGTTGTTATGTTTGAGCCCATTGCTGCTGCCATTGGGCCAGTCTATCTCTTTGGCATCTTGCTGTTTTCCACTGACCCCCTACTTTACCAAGCATGATGTTCTTCAGGGACTGTCCTTCCTGATAATATGTCTGAAGTACAAGAGACTAAATCAGGCATCCTGGCGTCTTAGGAGCATTCTGCATGTACTTCTTCCAGGACAGATTTGTTTGTTCTGCTGGCAGTCCATGGTGCTTTCTTCTCCAACACCATAACTGAAATGCATCAGCTCTTCTACGATCTTCCTTATTCATTGATCAACTTTCACATGCACTTGAAGTTATTGAAAGTATCATGGCATGGGTCAAATGCACATTAGCCCTCAAACTGATGATATCTTTGCTCTTGAACACTTTAAAGAGGTCTTCTTTTACAGTAGATTTGCCTAATATACATTTTTCTTTGATTCTTGACTGTTAATTATGGCTCCAAGTAAAATGAAGTCATTGATAACTTCAATCTTTTCTCCATTTATCTTGTTTTTTATTGGACCAGTGGTAAGGATTTTTGTTTTCTTTAAATTGAGGTGCAGTCCATACTGAAGGCTGTCTGTGGTGTTAACTTCATCAGTAAGTTTTTGTAGACCTCCCACTTCCAGCAAACAAGCTTGTATCATTTGCATATCACAGGTAGTTATTGAGTCTTCCTGCAATCTTGATGCCACAATCTAGCTACTTGGATTATTTGCTCAGAATACAGACTGACCAAGTATGGTGCAAGAATACAACTCTGGAACACACCTTTCCTGATTTTAAGCCATTAAGCACCTTGTTCTGTTTGAATGACTGCATCTTGGTCTATGTACAGGTTCCTCAGAAGCACAGTCAAGTGTTCGGAATACCCATTCTTCACAGTTTTATCGATAGCTTGTCATGATCCAAACAGTCGAAAGCCTTTGCATAGTCAATAAAATAGAAGTAAACAGCTTTCTGGTATTATCTACTTTAAGCCAAGATCCATCTGATGTCAGTTATGAAATCCATTGTTCTAGTGAGGTTGGCCCAGGACTGGACATTGTTTCGTTCTGCTGTGCATGGGGTCGCTATGAGTCGGTTCTGACTCGATGGCACCTGACAACAGCAGCAACAACAAAACATCCTCTTCTAAATCTGACTTGAGTTTCTGGCAATTTTCTGCTAATGCATTGTTGAAGCCACTTTTGAATTATCTTCAGCAAAATTGTGCTTGCATGTTTATTAATGATAATTTATTAATGACAGTTGTTCAATTATAATTGTTCATTTATAACCCATCCTGTTGGGTTATCTTTGTTTGGAAATACGGGTCTCTTCCAATTGGTTGGCCAGATCGTTACTTCTCATCTATGCTTGGCATAGTTGTGAGTGAGTGCCTCCAGTGCTTTATCGGTTTGTTCAAAGATTTCAATTTGTGTTCTGTCAATTTCTAAAGCCTGTTTTTCACCAATGCCTTCAGTACTGCTTGAACTTAATCCCTCATTACCATTGGGTCTTGAAATAGTTGAACATCGATCACTTCTTTTTGGTGCAGTGACTCTCTATATATTTTCCTTCCACTTTTGATGCTTTCTGCATCATTCAGTATTTCAACTATAAAATACTTTAATAATGTAAATCACGCCTTGAATTTTTTTCTTCAGTTCTTTGAGCTTGAGGATTGCTGAGCATGTTCTTTTCTTTTGCTTTTCTAACTCTAGGTCTTTGCACATTTCATTATAATTTTTAACTTTGTCTTCTTGAGCTGACCTTTGAAATTTTCTGTTGAGCTCTTTTACGTTCTTATTTCTTACATTCTTTGTAGCATCTCTATGCTGCAGAGCAAGTTTCAGAGTCTCTTCTGACATCCATTTGGTCTTTATTTTTTCTTTCCTCTCTTTTTAATAACCATTTGCTTTCTTCATGTATGATGGTCTTGATCATCCCATAGCTCTTCTGGTTTGGGGTCGTTAGTGTCTAATGCATCAAGTCTGTTCTAGAGATGGTCTCTAAATTCAAGTGAGATATGTGTAAGATCAATTTTTGGCTCTTGTGGACTTGTTTTAATTTTCTTCTGCTTCAGCCTGAACTTGCATATGAGCAATTGATGGTCTGTTCTAATCTGTCCTTGAGCTTTTCATCATCTCTTCCCACAGATGTAGTCACTTTGAATCCTGTGTATTTCATCTGGCAAGGTCCAGGTGTATAGTCACTTTTTATGATGTGGAAAAAATGTCTTTGCAATGAATAACTCATTGGTCATGCAAAATTCTGTCATATGTTCTTCAGCATCATTTTAATCACCAAGCCCATATTTTCCAACTTCTAATCTTTATTTACAACCTTTGCATTCCAATCACTGGTAATTATGAAAGCATCTTGAGTGCATGTTTTATCAATTTCAGGCTGAAGAAATTGGTAGAATTCTTCAATTTCATCAATATTGACTAATGGTTGGTGTATACATTTGAATACCAGTGATTATAAATGGTCTTTCTTGTGGGCATAAGTATATTGTCCTATCACAGACAGCATTATACTTCAAGACACATCTTGAAATTTTCTTTTGCTAATAAATGCAATGCTGTTCCACTTTAATTTGCCATTCTTAGAAGATTCAAAATAGCCAGTAGCAGTCCATTTCAGCTCACTAATGCCTAGGATGGCATCATGGTGTGGTGCCATAGGATAAGCACTCAACTTCAAGGTTGGTTTGAACCACAGGGTTGGTGGTTGAAACTTTACCAGCCACTCCTTCAAAACCCTACAGGTTCGCTATGAGTCTGAACTGACTTGACGACACTTAACAACAGTGCCCAGGATTTTATTTTATTTTTAACAACTTCCAATTTTCCTATATCCATACCTCATACATTACATGTTCTGGTTATTAATGGATGTTTACAGCTGTTTTGCCTCATTTTGAGTTGTTCCTAATCAGCAAATGAAGGTTCTGTAGTTAACTATACTTTGAGGAGGCAACTCTTCCCCAGTTGTATTTTGAGTGCGTTGCAACCTTAGGGGTTCATCTTCTGGCACTATATCTGAAATTATTCTGGTTTTAAAAATCAGTATTCCAGTGTTATGTCACAGTGTTATTATGCTATTCATAAGATTTTTCAGTGGCTAAGCATTCAGAAGTAGTCCACTTCTAACGACTTAGGACATGGCATAGACGGGTTGTTTGTTGTTAAGTGACGTCGTATTGGTCCCCCTTCATAGCAACCCTGTTTAGCAACACTTCTGAGTAGTGCTCCATATTACTCTGTATTCTACTGTATTGCTTGAAATTTTTAGTGTTCAAGTATTCATAAATTAGTTTTGATATTTACTTGATAAATATTATATAGAATCTTTTCATAGTTATAATTTAGGTTACTCAAATTAGTGACATTTTGAAAAAAAAGATTAGATCAAAGTTAACCATTTTCCTATTGGAGTATGATACTAGTGTGAACAAAGTCATAGGGTAAACACATTAAAAGTGAAGATTTTTCAAATATATTTTAATTTTTAAAGGATCTGCTTTTTCTGTACACATCACCAGCTGCTCCTTGGAAACTCTATACAGGGTCACACAGTAACAATTCTTTACTTGGAGTCCTGGTGTTGAGCTGCAGGGTAATGCACTGGATTTTAAGTTAGCTTTGAATTGCAAGGTAGGCTGCTTAAGCTTACCAGCCTCATCACAGAAACCCTATGCAGGGTCTCTATGGATTGGAACCAACTCAGCGGCACTTAACAACAATTCTTCACTTATATCATTATCTGACATTTCACATTTATGACAGTAGTGAACAATATATCTGACTGTATTGCACTTTGATATTGCACATCTAGCAATAATGAATTCTAAGATGCAAAGAAGGGAATGTTGGCTGTGACAATTACAGTTTATGTGTCACCTTAGCTGGTCCTTGATTTTTTGTGGCTTGTTGTTGTTGTTGTTGTTGTTAAGTGCTGTCGAGTCGGTTCCGACCCATAGCGACCCTGTACAGGGTTTCCGAGGCTGTAAATCTTTACGGGAGCAGAACACCTCATCTTTCTCCCGCGGAGCAGCTGGTAGTTTCGAACTGCTGGCCTTAAGGTTCGCAGCCCGATTCGTAACCGCTACGCTAATGATGTAATTTGGCAGATATTGTGATGTGATGCGATATGATCATCCTCTTTTTTCTCATAAAGAACACTGATTGTCTCAAAAGTATAATTCAAACTCACCAGCCACTCTCGGAAACCCTTTGCAGGATCACTATGAGTCAGAACTGATTTCACAGCAGACAACAACAATAAAACCTGATCTTTGGAGATTAACCATGTTGATAAGTGAGGAGGCACTTATATATGTTGTACAAAAAGTAGACTTAAATTTAAGGATTTTTTTTCTTCCTTATTCTTATTCTAAACATAAGACTCTTTCTGATTTCTGGTTAACATTTTGCCTTTTTTTTTTCTTATTTTCATAGGCCCCTTAGAATTAATGGACGCTTCAGAGCACAATGGATGTTCAACACCAGGATGTAAAGGGATTGGCCATTTTAAAAGAGCAAGGCACATGAGTCCTCACAGGTATGTAGTTGGTGCCACTTACATGAAGATTTGGTCAAATAGAGAGTGTTTGTCTCACATATGTGTAAGATGCTTTTCATGCATAATAAATAGATGTGAAGTTAATATTAAGTACACACACACATACTTAATGTGGTTACCATGGTGATCCTATAAAAATGAAAGGGAGTATCTGTAGTTGGAAATCTCCTGGGAGAAAATAAATTCACAGTTCTTAAAATAGATTTACTGTAGTTATTTAGCCTTGTCTTCCCAACCAAAGTAGTTTTGAATATACTAGAAATCTGAGATAATAATTTTGGATTGACCACTAGTAATGAGAAGAGGATGGTCCTCTTCTAATTATTTGTTTGGTAGAATATGATAGGATTGGATAAGTCAGCAATTTGAATAATAAAAGATGAGAGTACTATAGACTAGCAGCCAAGTTCTAAAAAGCACAGATAGAAATAAGCAACATGAGAATGTATTGGTTAGAAAAATATTTCCCAATATGTGTTTTGTATCCCTAAGTAACTTTAAGAAGAAAAATCAGATGCATACATTAGAAATTGGATATATTGTTTAGATGATTTTGGAGTCTTTGTAGATATTTTAAACATTACTGCAATACTAAGAAATACCTGTTACTTCACTGAAATTTTTAAGAAGTGAAAATGATATCTATTTAGGTATATAATTCTAAAATCCCAACCTTTAGAAATAATCATTTGCCAGTATAAGTGTTCTAGCAATGAGTTAATTGGGTTGCCAGTTAGAAAATCAATTTCTTGTTTATCTAGTTGGTACAAATTGTGAATTCAGGTCACTGAAAACATCTGAAGACTGCACTGCATTTTGCTGTAAAAGTTAACAGATGTTGCAAAATTATTGTAATTATTTTCATCTGGGTATAGTTTCATCTTCTGCGCAACCTCAAATACTGCTTAGCTTCCTTTTGCAACACTCCTCCCTAGTTTTTTGTAAGGTTGAATATGTTCCAGAATAAAATGTCTGAGCATAGACAGACTGCTGATTCTCTTTGCAAATACTCATTTGAAAATCCTTTTGGTTGCTTGTATGACTGCAAGCCAAATGCTATAAGATTAATTTAAACTGAGTTAAAAGCCCTGTATCTTGGAAGTGATTAAATATTGGCTACTAAAGGCAGCTGGGTTCTTTTTCAGACATTTTATAAGTTTAAAAGCAATTTGTTCAAATTGTGAAGAAGAAAGAACAAAGCAATGAAAAACAAATACTGACTGTAGGTTGTTGGGGTGCACTTGGAGACTAAAAATGGTCTTTTGGAAAAACTCCCCCACAGTTGCTCCTTTTAGAATGGCTTTAGGTCTGAGTGGGGAGGACACCTCTCCCAGATGCTCTGAGGTGACAGTGTCCTGCCTCCTCCCCAAGGGCCCCAGCCACTCATCAGAACAATCTGCCTCCAGACCTCAGTGTACTTTTTCTGCAGCACTTACTCGTAGATGCTTTGTGGTTCTTAAGAGAAGGGCAAAATTGTTGGATGAATTATTGAAGGTATTACGGAAAACTATGGTAAAGAAGTTCTTTCACTATAATTGGAGCCATGAATAGCAAATTACTTATTTGCATTGAAATAGGCAAAATGAGATCTTATATAGCTTAAAAGACATGCATTGTTAAGCTATATTTATTTTCTTTTCAGTAACAGTTTCTGTTCCTAGGTGACTAGGAACTAGGAATGAGAGTTACTAGGTGACCAGGACCTTAGGAATGAGAGCTGGCTTGCAGAGAGACAATAGAATGTGTCATTCCCTACCTGAATGCTAACTTCTCTTCTTCTCAACCCTGGGGACTTTGTCTCCCTGCACCACTGTCCTATTCTCAACTCTCAAAACTCTGTATCTGGCTGCATAGTAATCCTTAACAGGCACAGATTCCTTCCATTTCATTATGAGGCTTGTGGCACAGCTGCTGTATCATGGATAGTCTTTCAAAGGTTCATTTCACTGGCACTTTTTTTTTGTTTTGTCCTTCCTGAGATTGCTGTGTTTAGAAAAAAAACATAATGAGAAAATTCTCTTTGGATTAATTTACCAAGAAACAGCATAAATCAAAGCATGCATTCTTTGCTTAGATAACTAGTAAGTTTCTTCTTTCAGCAAGAATAATCAATTTTGTGAACACGCAAGCAAAAGATTGCTTTGACTAGCATTTGTTGTTAATTTCTCTGAGTAAAACAGTAGCTGAATTTGATACAAGAAGTGCTTAAAGGAAAATATGTGTCTCCAAGATGAAATTTGACGATGTGATTTTTTTAAATGATGAAATATTAAAGATAATTAGCGGGTTGAATGTAATATTCTGATCTCTAGGAAGCTCAGTGGCCAGATTGCTTAATTCTCTCTTTCTAGAAAGGGACCATTCATATCTGTTGTGTCGTGGCATTTCCCTTTGTTGATTCATTCGTTTGGCATGGTCATTCATTTGGTAAAGGATGGAGGTGGATTAAAACCAGATAGCTCTGACTCATGGTGACCCCGTGTGTGTCAGAGTAAAGCTGGGCTCCATCAGGTTTTCAATGGCTGATAATTTTGGAAGTCAATTACCAGACCTTCAGAGGTACCTCTGGGTTGACTTACAATGTTAAACTTTTTGCTTAGCAGCCAAGTATAGTAACCATTTATAACTACCATTGTATAAAGTAGAGTCTACATAATTAGTACCATCAGAAATAAATCTCTTCTAAGAGAAATTAAGAATAGAAAAATAAGTGAATTCTAACAGCTTCTGAATAATATCTGTAAAGTCTATGTGAAGTTTTAAACCTTTAGTGACATTGGGCCTTGAAACTGTAAACATTGTTTTTATTCAACACCCATCCATCCAGCAAACACTGTGTGCCTGCTTTGTGCCAGCTCCTGTGAAGGTGGGAGGCTGTACAGAGGAGAGGGCCTCTGTTTCTAAAGAGGCCACACTTGGGTATAAGCAGATTCACTTGGAGGCTTGCATAGAGTAGCACTTAAAAGGAAGTACCAATGTTTCCGGAGGAAGGCGGTTTCTTCAAAAAAGAGGATAACAATAGAGTTTTTAGAGCTCCAGTTTATTTTTTGTAGATGTTCTTTTTGCAATATCTAGTTTGTTCTTAAGGGTTTTTATTATGATTCTTTACTTTTGAAAATGGTGGGTGTTACTGTGGTTAAGTGCCATCCAGTTAGTTTTGACTCATAGCGACCCTGTATAGGGTTTCCGAGGAACGACTGATGGGTTTGAACTCCTGATCTTGTGGTTTGCAGTTCACTGCTGGTTGTACAGCATATTGTTGTTGTTAAATGAGTCAATCAGTTCTAACTCTTAGTGACCTTAGCATAAGGTTTCTGAGGAGCAGCTGATGCATTGGAACTGCTGACTTTGTGGTTCGAAATCCAGTGGTAAGTCTACAATGCCACAGTTAGAATAGTTCGAAGTGCTATTCTAAGCACTTATATGTATTATTTCATTTGATTCTCACAGCAGCAGTACAGAGTAGGTGCTGTTCTAATCCCTCTTACAGATAAGTAAACTGAACTTCAGAGAGGGTAAGTGCAGAACCAGTGCCCCTCGCAGGCATGTACCGCCCTTCAGTCTGTACAGGCTCTAACACAGAGCACAGTAGCATGATACTGCCCGCCATGATGAGGGGTGAGCACTAAGAAAACGGAAAATGTTGTTTCGGTAAATGTATTCATAATTAAAAGGGTTGTAACACTGGGAAGCAGTGAACGAGGCAGCCCTTCCATTAGGCTTAATTAGCTAACCTAGTCTTTCGTAGGAAAAAGAGCCTTTTAAAGGGACCGTGTGTGTGTGTGTGTATACACATATACGACAAAGAACGATTTACTAATACAATGCTATCCCTAATAAAGTCCACACACTAAAAAACTGTGTAATCTATGTGAGTCTGTCACTTTGCTTTCTAAGGAATTCACATAAAGGTAAAGTGGTGTGTCTGTCTATGACATACATATCTCACTAATTTATTATCACTAGAAATTTAGCACATCAGAAACTAAAAATGATTTTAAGGCTGAAAACCCATTCTCTGCAGAGAAGTTTGACCCAGCACCAGGGGGGCAATTCACACCTATAAGAGTTCAGCCTTGGAAAATCCTATGGGCAGTTCTACTATGTCCTGTATCATCACTGTTGTTGTTGTTAGGTGCCGTCGACTCAGCTACAGACTCAAGCAACCCGACGCACAACAGGAAGGAACAGTGCTGAGTTCTGCACCATCCTCACAGTTGTTGCTAGTGCTGCTACCACTGGGCAATCGTTTTCATTGGGGGTCTTCCTCTTTTTGCTGTCCCTCCACTTTACCAAGCATAATGTCCTTCTCCAGGGATTGGTCCCTCCTGATAACATGTCCAATGTATGAGTGACAAAGTCTTGCCATCCTGGTGTCCAAGGAGCATTCTTACTCTACTTCTTCCAAAACAGATTTGTGTGTTCTTCTGATAGTCTGCTAGAATATTGAAAGCACCCCAGTCTAATGGTGGATAGGGTCGCTATGAGTTTAGAATTGAGTTAATGGCAGCAAGTTTGGTGTGAATTTATCAAGTTGTTGACAAGTACTAGTAAATATTAATAACTAAATGCTTACCTTTAGTAGCACAGAAACTCAGTGCCCTTCAGCACTTCTCATAGGGAAGTGGTTATGAATCAGGCTGCGAACCTTAAGGTTAGCAGTTCGAAACTACCAGCTGTTCCGCGGGAGAAAGATGAAGCTTTCTGCTCCCATAAAGATTTATAGCCTCAGAAACTCTGTACAAGGTCGCTATGAGTCAGAACCAACTCCATGGCACATCACTACCACCACCACCACCACTCATCCCTAGTAACCACTAATAAACTCTGGTCTCCATCTATATGAGATACGCAAGACCAGTAAGAAGGGCACAGGTGGAACGGGAGTAAGTTAGATGGGTCTTAATTCAAGTTGACCTCTGCCACCTTCTCATATTAGGAAAAGGATTGGCTGTAGATACGTGCTTACCTGAATATCACATATGCTACCAGGCCAAGAGACAGGGATAAAGAGGAACCAACTTCCCTTGGAAGGCAGCACCTGTAATGAAGGGAATTAACGCATAGGTGGCTGCCCTGGGCCTGGAGGATCTCTGTAGCGAACAGGTATGCTCCTTTGGTCCTTGCCTTGCACAGTGCAGAAGGAATCCTGCAGTGACCATTTCTCACATCCAAGACTATATCGTATTGCTTCCTAAAATCTAGTGTAAAGAGAGACGTTCTCTGAATATACTGAGATGATGTTTTAAAGATAAAATAGTTCATACTCTATGTTTGTTTAATGGTATACATTTACACATATATGTAATTATATATGATATACTCCTCACCTACAACAAATATTTATGATATATTCAATTAAATTTTTGAAATTTCTGTTTTATAGGTTGTCATTTAAAAGTCTTTTCTAATGGTGGGCAATGTTCTTTTCTTTTTCTTTTCATCTTCTAGTGCTGCCAACTGTCCCTATTCAGAAATCAATTTGAATAAAGACCGTATTTTCCCAGACCGTTTAAGTGGTGAGATGCCTCCAGCTAGTCCATCATTTCCAAAAAATAAAAGAGCAGACACAAATGAAAGCTCTTCATCTCCTGAAACCAGGTAATTACAGCGAAAATACTAGAGTTGCTTACAAGTATTCTGATGAAAGATTTTCTATTTTAAATATTTTATGATTTATCTTAGTGTCTTGAAAATGTACCTGATTTAATGCAAAATGATGGTGTGGATTAGTACTTGGACATTTGTGTGAAATGGATGAGAGATGATAAAAGTATGTCTAAATCAGGAAGTATTTCCTTTAAATAGTTCATCTTTTATTTGAGCTTGTTTGGTTTCAGAGGTTTAAAAATTCCAGTCTTTTCACTGCATGCCAGTGCACATTTATGAATGAAGTGTTGAATACTTGTATAGAGCCATCGTTTCTAAAACTTAACAGGCTTCTTGTGAAGAATGGACATTATCTTGTTTTAATGCTTGCTATATATATACATTTTACTTAAATTATTAAAATCTGAATTGTACTATAAACCCAATCATTTAATTTTTATTTTATTTCTAGAGTTCAGTTAGAATGAATGTAAAAACTTCAGAGAACTACTAAGTTATAAAAACAAAACTATATTTTGTTAGATTTAGCATTGAGTAAATGGTCTGTACTTTCTTCTTAGCTAAGGATTCTACAAAAGATGAATTTGTAAAACGATGTATAAGTTTTGAGGGTATTTATGGAGTGTACTGTAAAGACTAAGGTAACAGAGTTCTCTATTTTATTAGAACTTTATAACTTCCATTATTTTGGATGATTTCAAATGATTAAGAGTAACAGCTTTTTTTTTTTTTTTAATGTTCATGTAACGTAAACTCATGTACTAAATTGCAGCACCCTAAAAAGAGTGTATATGTCTTGAAGAAATTTAACTTTGGCAAAAAAAAAAAAAAAAAAAGGCAGAGTTAATTTGCGTGGTAGTTGTAGTTATAGGTATAGAATTTAAATTCAAATATTTAATAAAATATCAGTGATCTAGAAAATCATGTTGAGAACAGAAAGCAGGCTATGAAAAGTATAGCTCCTTTCAAGAAAGCTTTGCTATGTAAGATAAAGAGCAAAACTAATTTAGAGTTGGAAGGATATCTGGGTCAGTTGGCATAACATAGTTCAGAAAGATAATATTTTGCATCCTAACTTGGTGAGTAGAGTGTCTGGGTCTTCAAAACTTGTGAGTGACGATCTAAAATACAACTGTTGTTCCCCTCCTACCTGGAGTAAAGGAGAGTAAAGGAAAGCAAAAGCTCAAAGAAACAATTAGTCCACAGGACTGGACTAAACATGCAAACAGACACATTTATTTCCATTGAACTGGTTAAAGTTAAATTATTCCTGACACTTCATACCTAAAAATTGAATATGTATAACTTAAAAAAAGAGAGAGATTATTATTTCACTTAATTGTAATGTGACCACACCCAAGAAATTGTGAATACATCAACTCTTCACTTATTGACTATCTCATTATCCAACATTTTGCATTTATAACAACAGTAAAAAAATGTTTTAAAAATCTGTCATTCAACTGTTTTGCACATTAAGGAGGTTTGACAGAGTGAGTCTTGATGATGCTGTGGGTTAAGCATTGGGTTGCAAGGTTAGCAGTGCAAACCTAGCAGCTACTGCACTGGAGAAGGATGAGGCTGGCTGCTCCTGTAAAGACCGGGAGCCTCAGAAACGCAAAGGGCCGCTTCTGCTCTGTCCTGGGGCTCACTCTGAATGGGATTGAAAAGGATGGCATTGCATTTGATTAGGGTGTCTTAGGCGGGACAGGGACAGCTGCAGATAGTCCCCTCCCTCAAGGAAGGTCTCCAGGCACACTCCTCTTCATACCCCCCAAAGTTCAATTGTGCTGCCCTGTGTCCTCAGTTTCCTCCTGTTGGTGGGGACCCCATGTCCAACTGTAGCTGGTCTGGCCTACTCTATGGCCATGGACTCTGGACGGAAAAGCAGCACAAAGCCACTGAGCACCTGTTCTGGACTTCCACCTCTTATGTATCCTTCCCACCACTTGCCTGTCAGTTTGTCACACTGTGGTGGCTTGCATGTTATTGTGATACTGGAAGCTGTGTCATCTGTATTTTAAATACTAGCAAGGTCACTTATGATGGACAGATTTCACTTGCAGACCAAGACAGACTTGAAAGAAGGAGGGACAAACTCCGTCCAAATGTTTAGCCACTGAAAACCTTATGAATAGCAATGAACACTGTCAGCACCAAAGTACTGAATATTGAACATGATGAATAGCACCAGAATACTGTCAGATAGAGTGCCAGAAGATGAGCCCCTCAGGTTGGAAGGTACTCAAAATATGACTGGCTGCCTCCTCATAGTAGAGTTGACCATGATGATGTGAATGGAATAAAACCTTAGGACTTCACTTGCTGATAGGGCACAACTTACTATGAGGAGAAACAGCAGCAAAACATCCATTAACAATTAGAACATAGAATGTACAAAGTATGAATCTAGGTAAATCGGAAGATGTTAAAAAAGACATGCATAAACATCAATATCCTAGACATTAGTGAGCTGAAACGGACTGGTATTGGCATGTTGTAGCTGACAACCACTTGGTTTACTATGCCGAGAATGACAAATTAAAGAGGAATGGTGTTGCATTCATCACGGTAAAGAACATTTCAAGATCTGTCTTAAAGTATAATGCTGTCTGGGGTAGGATAATATATATACGCCTACAAGGAAGACCAGTTAATCCTACAATTACTCAAATTTATGTACCAACCACTAAAGCCAGTGCTGATGAAGTTGAAGAATTCTGTTAAGTTCTTCAGTCTGAAGTCGGTCACATATGCAATCAAGATGTATTCGTAATTACTGGTGATTTGAGTGCAAAGGTTAGAAACAGGAAGGATCAGTATATGGAAAATGGTTGGTGATAGAAATGATGCCATAAGATTGAGTGGCAGAATTCTGCAAGACCAATTGCTTATTCATTGCAAATGCCTTTTCTAAGCAACATAAAAGATGATCATAAACATGGATTCTACCAGGTAGAATATATGGAAATCAAATTGACCATATCCACTTGGAGAAGACAGTGGAAACATTCCATATCATCAGCCAAAACCAGGCCAGGGCAGACTGGAACAGATCATCAGGTGCTTATATGAAAGCTCAGGCTGAAGCTGAAAATTTAAAACAAGTCCATAAAACATGACTGGAACATATCCCACCTGATTTTAGAGAACATCTCAAGAACAGATTTGATGCATTAGGCACTAAAGACTGAAGACTAGAAGAGTTGTGGGATGACATCAAGAATATCATGACAAGAAGAAAGCAGAAGATAATTAAGAAGACAAGAAAGAAAGAAAAGACCAAAATGGATGTCAAAAGAGACTCTGAAACTTGCTCTCCAGTATAGAGACGCTAAAGCAAATGGAAGAAATGAGGAGGTAAAAGAGGTGAATCGAAAATTTCAAAGGACAGCTTGAGAAGACTATAGTCAAATGTGTAAAGCTCTGGAGTTAGAAAACCAAGAGGGAAGAACACACTCGGCACTTTTCAAGCTGAGAGAACTGAGTAAAATATTTCAAGCCGCAACTTGCAATACTGAAGGATTCTTTGGACAAAATATTGAATGATACAGAAAGCATCAAAAGAAGATGGAAGGAATACACAGAATCACTATACCTAAAAGAAATAGATGATGTTCAGTCATTTCAGCATAGTGGTTACGAATCGGGCTGTTAACCTCAAGGTTGGCAGTTTGAAACTGCCAGCCATTCCGCGGGAGAAAGATGAGGCTTTCTGCTTCTGTAAAGATTTATAGCCTCGGAAACCCTGTGTAGGGTCACTATGAGTTGGAACCGACTCCACGGTACTTAACAACAACAACAACAATCATTTCAAGAGGTAGCATATAATCAAGAATCAATGGTACTGAAGGAAGAAGTCCAGTGTGCACTGAAGGCCTTAGCAAAGAACAAGGCTCCAGGAATTGATGGAAAACAAATTAAAATACTTCAGCAAACTGATGTGGCACTGGAGGCACTCACTCATCTATGCCAAGAAATTTGGAAGACAGTTACCTGACCAACAGATTTAAAGAGATCCAGATTTGTGCCTATTCCAAAAAGAGGTGACCATTATGGAATGTGGAAATCATAGGAGAATATCATATGCAAGTAAAATTTTCTAAAAAATAATTTAAAAATGGCTGCAACAGTACATGGACAGGGAACTGCCTGAACTTCAAGACAGATTTTCACGAGGACTTGGGACAAGGAATATCATCACTGACATCAGATGGCTCTTGGCTGAAAGCAAAGAATACCAGAAAGATACCTGTGCTTTATTGACTGTGCAATAGCTTGCGACTGTGTGAATCATGACAAGCTATTGACAGTGTTGCTGAGAGTGAGTATTCCGGAACACTTAATTGTGTTCATGAAAAACCTGGATGTAGACCAAGAGGCAGTCATTTGAATGGAACAAGGGAACACTGAATGTTTTTAAATCAGGAAAAGTGTGCACCAGGGTTGTATTCTTTCACCATACTTACTCAGTCTGATTGCTGAGCAAATAATCTAAGAGGCTAAATTCTATGAAGAAGAATGTGGCACCAGGATTGGAGGAAGGCTCATTTAACAACCTATGATATGTGTATGATACAACTTTGTTTGCTGAAAGCTAAGAAGACTTAAATACTTGCTGATGAAGATCAAAGACCACAGCCTTTCAGTATAGGTTGTACTTCAGTGTAAAGAAAACAAAAATCCTCACCAGTGAAGTAATAAATAACATCATGAAAAATGGAGAAAAGACTGAAGTTGTCAAAGACTTCATTTTGCTTGGATCTACCAACACTCATGGAAGCATCAGTCAAGAAATCAAACAATGTATTATATATGTAAATATGCTACACTAGATCTATTGAAAGTGTTAAGGAGCAAAGATGTCAGTTTTAGGACTAAGGTACACTTGACCCAAGCCATGGTATTTTTAATAGCTTCTTATGCATGTGATAGCTGAACAGTGAATAAGAGAAACCATAGACGAATTGATGCGTTTGAGTTACAGTATT